TCAGAATTTGTAGCTGCTTTGCAACGTGAAATAGTTGAATGCGAATTTTCTGTGAAATGTGACTGTGATAAATCAGTAACAATTGCAGATGTTTTTCTCCGGGCTCAGTTCATTCGAGGATTGCGTAATGATTGGTTGCGCGAACAGGTGCTACAATCAGATTTAATAACTTTCGATGATGTCTTATCAAAGGCGATTGATTTGGAGGCCTCCAAAATCAAAAGTAAAGAACTCACTCAAAAAGGTTCTCCACGCTCTACTTCTTGCGCTTTAAGTGACAATAATAAAGTTTCAAATTTCTCAGCACGTCATAGAAATCGTTCCAGTTCACGATCTAGTTCTCAACGCCAGAAACCAGATTATAGAGCCCTTGGTATTGAAAATCTATGCATCAGATGTGGCAGAAATAATCACCAAGTCAAAGATTGTCGAATTAATAAAACTAAACTAAAATGTGATTCATGCAAAAAAGTAGGTCATGTTAGTAAAGTCTGCATTTCAACTTTAATTAAGATGCCACGAAAGTCAATGAATTCCAGTCCCAGACCTTCTCTTCATGCTGTTTCAACTGAAGTACATGATCAAAATATTACATTTGGTGTCAACTCTATTCACAGCTCTTCACCATGCTATAAAGTTATAAATTTATTTGAAGTTTGCCATGACTCTGACAAATATATCGTCTCTGTATACCTCAATGGAAAGCTACAACATTTCGAAGTAGATTCTGGAGAAAAGTTTTCCCTACTTTCAGAAACTGATTTTGAACGTTTAAATTTAAATGCGCCCTTGGAAAAATCAAACATTGCTTTTCGTACTTATTCTGGNGTTTAAATTTAAATGTGCCCTTGGAAAAATCTAACATTGCTTTTCGTACTTATTCTGGAGATATCATTCAACCCAAGGGGAAAGTGCATGTAAATGTTGCATTTCAAAACAAAAACATTACAGGCGAACTTCATATTGTTCCAGCTGGATGTGCCGCTATTCTAGGCCGTCAATGGATTCGAGCCTTAGAAATNGGGAAAGTGCATGTAAATGTTGCATTTCAAAACAAAAACATTACAGGTGAACTTCATATTGTTCCAGCTGGATGTGCAGCTATTCTAGGCTGTCAATGGATTCGAGCCTTAGAAATCGAACTTTTACAAATAGATGCTAATATATCAAACACTTCAATTCATAAATCACCAGTGTATCAAATCATTCCTCTCAATTCACTTTTGGAAAAATTTTCACACCTCTTTGAAGAACGAGTTGGATGCGTCCCTCATTTTCAAGTATCACTTCAA